ACCAAATCAAAGCTGACCCTCCCGCGGGTTTCCAGAAGCAATTTAATCGCCTGGGAGGAGACTGTCCATGTTTCTCCCATGGATCAGCTGGTGGATTAGAACCATTTACTTTTAGATTGGCAGCGCAACTGCTTACCACTAAGCCACCAAGAAACATAGGGATTCTGAATATTTTATCACAGGTAATGAAGTTTCTAATGTTAAGAAAGATTGGGTTATTCCAGTGTAAATTCTTCTCTACTGACCTCAGAATAAAGTTCCAGAAAGGCCAGTCCCTGGAGAAGGACATCATGTTTGTTAAAGTGGAGCATACGAGGAAAGAGGAAAAGCCTCAACGAGATGGACAGATACAGTAGCTGCAACAGTGGGTTTAAGGACAGCAGCGATTCGAGGACGGCCCAAGACTGAACAGAGCTCCTGTGCATTGCACAGAGGGCCTCTGTGAGTTGGAGCCACCTTGATGGCACCTCATAAAAACACCAAATTTCAGAACTATATGTAGTCCGCTATGGGGCCTGAAGGAACTGTGGCATTCATTACATGCTGGGCTGCCAACCAAAAAGTTCGCAGTTCAAATCCACCAGCTATTCCTCAGAAGAAAAATGTTCCATAAAGATTTGCGGCCTCAGAAACAATCATTTGGAATCATAGGAGTGGATTTAGTTTTGGGGGTATAAAATGTTCAATGGGGGTCTCCTTGTGATCAATCTGAACCCAATTCCTGCCATCCTTTTCTCAATCGCTCACTCCTCCCCCAGGCCTCCTTTCTCAACTCTCGAATGTGTCTCAGGGCCTTTGCACTTACTTGCTGATTCCCTTTCCTGAATTTTTCTTCCTTCTTTGCATTGCTGTAAGGTTGGCTCCTCAAAATCAAACACTGCTGTCAAATCAATTGCAAGCTCTATCAGATTTTCAAGACTGTAAATCTTTACAGACCACCACTACCTCATCATTTTCCCACAAAGAGAATAGTGGACTTGAACCATCAACCTTTCAGTTAGCAGGTCAATAGGTAAGGAACTATGCCACCAGCACGTCTCAGTTCAAGTGCCAAATCACCTTACCTTGATCATGGTCTTTCAGGTGCCCCAGACCCTCCAACCCTGGGTCCTCCCTGTCTTACATTCTCATCAATTTTTATTCTTGTTTATATATTGGCTTGTTTGCTAGATCATGAGCCTCAGAAGGAGAACTAGGGCTTGTTCTCTACTATATTTCCCAGCTTGACACACCTTGGATAGTAATATTTGTTGGCTGCTGATGATGGGAGTTGAGCCCCTACTGGCAAGTCCAGTACCATGTTGATAACCAATAGCCTATCGATCAGATCCTTGTAATCCATAACATTTTAAGGTTGGTTGTCAAGTTGATCACTGGGCTTTATTTTTCAAATTGTAGTTTGAGTGAAAGCTTACAAAGCACGTTAGTTTCTCATTCGACCATTTCCACACATTTTGTTTTGTGACATTAGTTAGAATCCTTTCCATGTAGCAGCACTCTTCCCACTTCCATCTTGTCCTTTTTTTCTGCTCCTTCCTTCTTAGGGAGCTCCAGTGCCACATAGTTTCACTAACCCAAGCGCTGAACCTCTCTGGTGGTTCAAATGCAACAGCAGCTCAGAGGGAGAATGCTGGGCCATCTCTTCCCATATGATTTACTGCTTCAAAGACCAGAAAGAGGGAGCTCTGGTAGCCTAGTGACAAGAAGCTGCACTGCAATTCAGAAGGCCTACAGTTCGAATCCACCAGATGGTCTGCTGGAGAAGGAGGGACAATCTCCAGTACACAATAAGAAGGGGGGCGGAGGGGTGGGGTGGGGGGGAGACCTGGAGGGTCGGCAATGAGCTGATTCCGACTCCAAGGCAACCAGCTTTCTGTCTTCTGAGTGTTGTGTTTTTGACATTGCTGTCCTGGGTTCGATTATATCAGAGATGATAATTATTAGGATTGCAAAACCCTTTCCGTCCTCTCCCAGAATGGCTACTGAGAAATCCAATCACAGGAAACAGCAGCTGTGTTTTTTATCTCTGTGAAACTACCCTACCCCCCTTTTTCCCAGGAATAATTATCTGAGACCCCAGGTCACTCCCCTATCTTGAAGGAAACATCTGTAAGAATCCCCTCTCCCAAGTCCCTTGTAAGAAAGTATTAAATCTCCCTCTAACTTCTAAGGTGTGTGTGTGTGTGGGGGGGGGGGTGCTGGTCTTCTGCTTGAAAGCCAGCGTGGCAGTTTCTCCGTAATAAACTGTCTTTCTTGGTCTGCACTGGGTTCTGTCCTTCCTCAGTGATCTTACAATAATAAAGATGGCACAGGATAGGACAGGGTTCAGATCTGCTATTCTTAGGGACGCTATGAGCCATATTCTGCAATCCAGCAACAATACCGCACCAATTCAACGCAACTCTCTGCCATCGTTTCGCAATAGACATAGCGGCGCCCTCCAGCGGAGGTTTCAGAGGCTGCAAATTGCATGGGAGAAGAATGCCCAGTGTTCTCTCGCAAAGCAGCTGGTGGATTCGGGCTGCCTGCCTTTGGGTTAGCAGTGAAATTGCCTCCTCATGAGGGAAGGAAGGAGGGAGAGAAGAAGGGAGGGAGGGAGGGGGAGAGAGAGAGAAGAGAGAAAGAAAAAAGAAAGAGGGGGGAGGGAGGGAATGAGGAAGGAAGGGAGGGAGG